ATGGGACTAATAGGTTGCGTACATATACAGAATAGCGTGGGTTGGGGGGGAGGGGAGGAGGAGGAGGTGGGGGGTGGGGGTGGAGGAAGGGGGAGAGAGTGGGGGTGGGGAAGGGAGGAGGGGGGGGAGGAGGAGGGGGAAAGAGTGGGGAGGGGAGGAGGGGGAAGGAGAGGGGAGGGGAGGAGGTGGGGAGAGGAGTGTAGGAGGAGTAAGAGTAGGTGGGGTGGGGTGGGGGTGCGGAGTGGGGTAGGGGAAGGGAGGGGGCTAGATACCCGCAGGGGTAAATAATATAAATGCAATTATTTCTTGATCTTACTTTCAAAACTTTTTTTTTATTCATTTATCTATTTACTTGCCGAGAGAAAGAGAGAGAGAGAGAGAGAGAGAGAGAGAGAGAGAGAGAGAGAGAGAGAGAGAGAGAGAGAGAGAGAGAGAGAGGAGAGAGAGAGAGAGAGAGAAACAGGGGAGGAGAGAGAGAGAGAGAGAGAGAGAGAGAGAGAGAGAGAGAGAGAGAGAGAGAGAGAGAGAGAGAGAGAGACGAAAAAGAGAAAGAGAGAGAGAGAGAGACGAAAAAAGAGAAAGAGAAAGCGAAAGAGACAAAAAAGAGAAAGCGAAGAAAAAAAAAGACAAGATAAAAAAAAAATAAAGAAAAAAATGAAACCTAAATAAACAAAAACAACAACAACAAAAAAAATACAAACCGGGGGTCATAGGCCGTGAACAGAAACAGACACAGAGATCTCCCCCTCCCCCTCCCCCTCCTCCCCCTTCCTCTCCCCCCCTCCCTCAGCAGGTAAGGGCGAGGGGCAGAGGCTGAGAGACCACGAGATCGACTGATAAAGAAATCCTCAAAAGCTGGGGATTCCAAGTGTGGGGGGGGGGGGAGGCGCTTAACTCTTCCAGGGGGGAAAGGGGGTAGGGGGAAGGAAGGGGGGCCAAGCGGGTAGGGGGGAGGGGGCAAAGGGGGTAAGGGAAGAGGGAGGGGAAGGGAGGAGGGGTAGGGGGCTAGGGGAAGGGGGTAAGGGGATTTAGGAGCAAGGGGGGGTTGGGGAGGGAGCGGGAGGGGAGAGGAGGGGAGGGGAGGGGGGGGTTATTGGCTGGCTGTATTTGCGAGGAGTAATTTGTCGAGAGTAATTGTTGGCTGTTGATGCGAGTGTTTGTTTAGGGTAATTGTTAGGTGTGTGTGTTACGTCTGTTTGGGGATATTTGTTAGAAATACATTCGTTATGAAGTTAGCGTTATAAGCTAGGAATAATTACTGAGTATTTGTTAGGAGTGATTGCCAGGGAATATCTATAATAAATTGATCGTTATAATGCATTTGTCAGGAGTATTTGTTAGGAGTATCTTTTGGGGTCTATTTTCTAAGTGTTTTTGTTAGAACTATTTGTCAGGAGTATCCATAAGAACCCCTTTTATAATTGTATTTGTCCGTACTGTTTATTACACGTATCTCTATTAGCGTACCTTTTACATATGTTGTTTTTTTAATTAATATCATTTATTAACAATATCCACCAAGGTCCCTTTTATATTTTTTATTATTTTTCTTTTTTTTTTTTGCATCATAAAGTATATCTATCAGGATCCCTTTTACAATTTTTTTTGTTAGTACTGTTCGGATTATTTGTCGGGAGTCTTTGTTACGAAGAGGGATTGGCAAGGATGCGATATACCCCGAGGCCACGATTACCGGCCGGCCATGGCGAAGGTGAACGAAGCAGGTGTCCTTAAATAACAGGCAGGGGGGGGGGGGGGCGACATGTGTTCTCTGCGCAGGTGTTATTGCCGGTTCATCTCCCCCGCCCTCTCCCTTTCCCTCTCCCTTTTTCTCCCTTTTTTTCCCTTTTCGCTCCTTCTTCTATCTTGTTTTCTTCCTTTTCCATTTTCTTTTTTAATATTTCTTTTTCCTTTTCATTTTCTTTCTATTTCTTCCGCTCCTCCTCTTCCTCTCCATCCTCTTCTCCCATCCCCTCCCAATCCCCCTCTCCCTATCCTCTTCTTCTTCTTCTTCTCCCCCCTCGCCCTCCTCCTCTCCTCCCTCCCCCCCTTCCCTCCACCCATCATCATCACATATACCAGCTATGTTTTCCTTTCTTGAATATAAAAAAATCCAACATAAATAACAAAAAAACAAGAAAGAAAAACGAGGAGAAAAAAAACAACAACAGCACATTATAAACAAGCCATAGACATGCAAGCAACAAGGCATATATTGCACGAAGGATGCAACATGGTGCAACACAGGCGGCCTCTTCTGATCTCAGCAGGTGTCAGCCAAAGACCATCACATCACCACTTTATATCAGCACATAAACATCAGAGGCAAGTGGATGTGCTCAGTGAGAAGGGAAGAAAGGGGGTGGGGGTAAGAGGGGGGATAGGGGAAGGGGGTGGGGAAGGGGGCAGGGAAGGGGGTAGGGGTGGGGATGGGGTAGGGAATGGAGTAGGGGGCAAGGATGGGGTGGGGGTGGGGATGGGGAAGTGGGTAGGGGATGCGGAGAGGAAAGGATTAGGGATGGGATACGGAAAGAGAAGTAAGCAAAAATGACCAACAGGAGAAAGAAACGAAAAGAAAAGAAAAGAAAAGAAACATACAGAGACCAAAAACAACAACGACTACAACAAACAACAACGGCTAGCGTACCTGGGGCCAACGGAAGTAAGTAGGCCTACTCCCAAATTACACGTATTGGCGGGGCGGTTCCGTGCGGCGGAATGGGTTACGGTCCTGTTGCTCCTTTTATCGCTACGGGGAAATTAATTACGGGGTGGGATTTCTAGGCTCGCCCAAGAGGATTCGTCTCCCTCGATGGGGAGGGGAGGAGAGGGGGAAAGGAGGGAAGAGAAAGGAGGGGAGGAAGAGAGAGATAGGAGGGGAAGGGGGTTGAGAGGAGGGGGGAAGGAGGGAAGAGATAGGAGGGGAGGAAGAGAGAGATAGGAGGGGAAGGGGGTTGAGAGGATGGGGGGGGGGGGAGGAAGAGAGAGATAGGAGGGGAAGGGGGTTGAAAGGAAGGGGGGAAAAGGGGGTTGAGAGGAGGGGGGGAAGGGGGAAGGTGTTGAGAGGATGGGGGGAAGGGGGGAAAGGTAGGGGAGAGAAGGGAAAAGGGGAAATTGGTAGGGGAGAGAGGGGGTAGAGAGGTAACAGAAGACGGTAGAATGAAGGGCAGAGAAGAGAGATAGGAGAGAATAGCGAACCGGGGTTGGAATTAGAGAGAGAGGAGGAGGAAGAGGAGATACAGAGGAAAGGGGAAGAAACAAAGAGCATCACAACCTTCCGAGAACGCCAGAGAGAAAAATAAAAATAAATTACGCAAAGTAGGTCGTAGGCTGGGCGCGACGTGACCAAAATCAACCAACCAAGTGTACCGAGACGGGGGATTTTACAAGAGGCTTGCGTGATAGTCATCTCACACATGGGCGTCTCGTGTCTCTGACCAGAAGGAAAGGGGGGGGGGGGCGAGGAGGGGGGAGGGGGTTAGGAGGAGGAGGAGGAGGAGGGGGTTGAGGGTGAAGACGTACGGATCGAGAAGGAGGAGGAGAAGGAGGAGGGGGAAAAGGGGAGGGGAAGGGGGAGAAGGAGGAGGGGGAAAGGGGAGGGGAAGGGGAGGAGAAGGGGGAAAGGGGAGGGGAAGGGGAGGAGAAGGGGGAAAGGGGGGGGAGGGGGAGGAGGAGGAGGGGGTTGGGGTGAAGGCGTACGGATCGTGAAGGAGGAGGAGGAGAAGGAGGAGGGGGAAAAGGGGAGGGGAAGGGGAGAAAGAGGAGGGGGAAAGGGGGGGAGGGGGGGAAGGAGGAGGGGGAAAGGGGGGGAGGGGAGGTGAAGAGGTGCAGGTCGAAGGTGAGAAAGGAGTATTCGTACAGGTCACCGCCACCATTATTATCCATCACTTTCTCGAAAACACTGGTATTCGTATGGAAATAGGTGGGAAAGAGAGAGAGGGAGAAAGGGGAGGAGAGGAAGAGAGGAAAAATGGAAGAGAAGAAGGAAAAGGGTGGAAAACGAGTAAAAGAAAGAAGTGAGGAAAGAAAAGGGAAGAGGGGAAAGGCTGAGAAACAAAAGAGAAGGGAAGAGGAAAAAAAGAGAAAAGGGAGAGAGGGAGATAAAGAAGACGAGGCAGGTACGTGGCGGAGATTGTGAACTACAAGTTAAGACATATAGAACGCACCTGGCCGACCGAGGAGAAGGCAAAGGGAAGGGGGAGGGGGAGGGGGGAAGATGAGAAGAACAATATTGGTATTAATGAACAGGTGAAGACAATACCTAACAATGGGCGTAGGAAGGTAGGGGAGAGGGGGGTGGGGTGTAGCACGGGGAGGGTAGGGGAGGTAATGTATAGGATGGGGTTGATAGGAGGGGGGGGGGGACAGGAGGGGAAAGGTAGAGGGGAGGTGGGGCTTGATAAGGGGAAGGTAGGGGGGTGGGGTGTAGGAAGAGAGAGGTAGGGAGTGGGTGTGGTGTAGCCTTACAGGTGGCAATTTTGACTCCCGAGTCGAGTGAAGGTGATGATTACAGTAGCAGATGTAAGGCTGACAACACCATCGTCGTCAGTGGTGATGATGGTGATGATGGTGATGATGAGGGCGAAGTGATAGCGCCGGAGAAAGTGACTGCCCGAGTTAATGATATCGTTCGAGCGGCGGCGATGATGACGAGACAGAACGCGGGGAGAGAACAATGCTGGAACAATACTGGAGCAAGGCTGAACAGCTGGGAGGAACGAGGCTAGAATCCTGGAGCAAGAATGAGTGAAACAGACGGCACTTTAGGACAATGCTGAACAACGCTGGAACGATGGTGAACACGATGACTGGAAAACATCACCAAGAACTATAACACACCTTGAACAACGGCGGAACAACAGTAGTACAATTCTATTACAAAAAAGCAATAGTGGAATTCTGGAACAACATAAACCCCTTGAACAACAGAGAACAAGAGAAGAACACTGGAACAAAACTCAAGAGAAGAACAACACTGGAACAAAACTGGTGGTACTGACCTGATCCTTGCCCGGGTGCGGGGTCCGCGGCGGCGGGGGGGGCCAGGGGGACCAACGCCAGCAGCAGCAGAGGCAGGAGGACAGACAGCAGGTGCCGTGGGGGGCAGGGGGCGCCATGGAGGGGGCAGCGCACCCCCCGGACCCATCTCACCATCCTGCCCACCTCCCCTCACATCTGGAAAGTAATAAACACGCCAGAGATTATTATCACGCTAGGAGATTCGCGGAATTTTACTGGAACGCGACGGTGGCAACACTCCCGTCTCGTCCCGTCTTTCGCGTTCCGTCTCATCTCGTCTCGTCTCGTTCCTCTCGGCTCTTGCCACCTCGTTTTTATCTCTGGATCTTACTTTCGTCTCGTTTATTTACATCTCGCTTCGTCACACCTCGTCTCTTTCCGTCTCGTTTCTCGTCTCGTCTCGCTTTATACACTTAGTCCCATCTCGTCCCATCTCGCTATATCTCGCCTCTTCTCGCCTCGCCCGGACGATAAACAACAACAACCATAATAACGCCTTTATTATCTGCCCCGTGAGTCCCGTGTGACAAATATACGAACGCTTTATTATCTTCCGCGCGACTGATAAAATGTGTCTGTTTCTCTCTTTTGGAAAGTCTCTCGAATGGCCGTCGAGGGGGGGGGAGAAAAATCAACGTAAAAGATAGGAAGAAAAGGAAGGAAAATAGGAAGAATGAGTCGATATAGAGATGATGATCAATCAAATCAATCAATCAATCAACAAACACAGATACACACAAACACACACACACACACACACACACACACACACACACACATACACACACACACAAACGCACACACATACAAATATATATATATATATATATATATATATATATATATATATATATATATATATATATATATATGAATATATATATATATATATATATATATATATATATATATATATATATATATATATATATATATATATATATATATATATATATATGAATATATATATATATATATATATATATATATATATATATATATATATATATATATATATATATATATGAATATATATATATATATATATATATATATATATATATATATATATATATATATATATATATATATATATATATATATATATATATATATCGAAGGAACGATGACGGAACACCAATTTTTCGGCCGTAACCCGGTAGCAACCTGATACCGGTTCCCAGCTGCACCGCCTGATATATTAAGCCACCTATCTAATTAAAATGAAAACCAGTATTTGCTTGTGGTCGAGATTAAACCATTAATATTCTCTCCCCTTTTTGTCTTTCATTCTCATTTTTCTTTCAATTTTTCCCCTTCTTATGCGTCTTTCTTTCGGGTCTTTTTCCCTTCCTCATTTCACCCAAAAACAGCTGTTCTCCTATATATATTCTCACCCCCTCCCCTCCTCCTCCTCCTCCTCCTCCTCCTCCTCCTCCTCCTCCTCCCCTCCTCCTCCTCTCCCTCTTCCTCCCTACCCTCACCTCCATCCCTCCCTTTTTAAACCCCCCCTCCTCATTACTCAACCCCCGCTAACCCCCCCCACCTCATCGCCAGGTACCCTTCCCCATCCCCCCACCCCCACCCCACCCCAGCCATACGTCACGCACACGTCGACGTAAGTCCATCGTCGGTGCGTCACCTTAATTGCATCCGTGACGGGGTGGGAGGCGGTCACGACGGTATTAACGCCCTCTCTCCCTTCTCCCCTTCCTCTCTCCTTCTTCTCTCCTTTCTCCCCTTCCTCTCTCCTTCCTTCTCAGACTTTTTTCCTTCCTTTCTTTTTCCCTTCTTTCGTTCCTCTTTCCCACCCTTTCAATCCATTCCTCTCTCTTTCTCTGCTTCTCGATCTCCCTACCCTCCATTTCTCTCTTCTCTCTCTTCTCTCTTCTCTCTCTCTCTTTCTCTTTCACAACCTTCCTCTCTACGACCCATTTCTTCATTCTCTCTCTCCACCCTTCTCCCCATTCCTCCCTTTCCCTCTTCTCCCTTCCCCCCTTCCCCTGAAAAAAGGCGAAAGGTTTTGCAATGAATTTCGCAAATGAGTGAACACGAGGGAACACCCAGGTTGGCGTACGAGGGCGAACTGACTGATGTGTGGGCGTGTGGTGGAGGGAGGGAGGGAGGGAGGGAGGGAGGAAGGGAGGGAGGGAGAGGGAGGGAGACGGAGAAGGAGGAAGGGAGAGAGGGAGGGAGGAGAGGGGAGAGGGGAGAGGGGAGAGGAGAGAGGGAGAGGGAGAGGGGAGAGGGGAGAGAGGAGAGGAGAGAGGAGAGAGAACAGAAAACAGAAAAGAAAAAATATATATACACATATAAAGAGAAAACCAAAAGAGAAAACTAAAAAAAAAGAAAGAAAAAAAAAACGGGGAAAAAAAAGAGTAAAACAGATCCCCCGATAGGTTGCCTCCGACGGCTCCGACAGCGAGGGCGTGAACTGAGCTCTCCCCAATCTCCCCAATCTTCAAGAAGCAGCATCACTTTCTCAAGACGCCTACGATCACATCTCCCCTTCCTGCAGTCACCCCGTCGGACGAGTTTTCTCCCAAAAAGCAGCGGCGTGCTTGCAAGAGGCGCGTCCATTAACACATATTTCTGCCAGAGAAGATCTAGCCAGGAGGCAAATGACAGGCATAATCAGGGCTAACGAAAGCACTCTTGGCCGCCAGACATTCCGAAAGGAGAAAGGAAAATTGGACAGAGAGAAAGAAGGGGAGGGAGAGAAAGCATGAGAAGAGATTAGTGGGAGAAATGAAGGGAAAATGACAGAACGGGAGGGAGAGAGAGCAAGAGAAGAGATTAGTGGGAGAAATGAAGGGAAAATGACAGAACGGGAGGGAGAGAGAGCAAGAGATGAGATTAGTGGGAGAAATGAAGGGAAAATAACAGAAGTTTGATAAAAAATAATGAAGAAGCTGAGGGAGAGGGAGAGAAGACAGGAGAAGAGATAAGTAAGGGAAAATAAAGAAAAAAAGAGGTATGATAAAATAGGAAAAGGCCGCATTCGACAGATTAGAAGAAAGATGAGAAAAATGATGATGAGAGAAAATATAAAACGAAGATATAAGAAAAAAATTGGCGCATCGCCTGGCCTATTGTGAAGGTAAAGAAGAAAAGAAGAAGACATAGAAAGGACGAAAAAGGAAGACGCTCGTGAGAAAAAAAGAGATAACAACAAAAACAAAATGAAGGAAAAGAAGAAAAAGAAGAAAGAAGAAAGAAGAGAAAGAAGAGAAAGAAGAAGAACAGAAAGAATAGATAGAAGAGATAAAAGAGGAGGCCGACCCATCCGGAGAAGCGTCGGCGAGTTTTTCCTGCAAGTCGCCGCCTATAATGATCGGATCCTCCCCCCCCCCCCCCCCCATCCCTCCCCCATCCCGCTCCGCAAGCCGCTTTCGAAAGTCTCCCGAGAAATTGTGGGCATTTTGAGCGCGGGCAGGTGCGGGCTTATCTCCCTAACTCTCGGGGGCATCGGCACCGTTCCTCCACCTGGCACTGAGGAGGCACTCCTACCCTGACCCCCTACCCCTTGGCCCTTCTCCTCCTCCCCTCCCCTCCCATCCCACCCCCCTTTATGGCTACTGTGCCACGCCTTGATTTATGGCACCGCTCTCGATGCTCTCGCTATGTGTAACACGAACTGCCGCTAAAATTCCGTTAGAGGCGGTAGTGGCACTCGGTAAAATAAATAAATAAATAAATAAAATACAAAATAAATGAATAACTGAATATACAGAACCAATAAAAAGATGAACAACAACAACCAAAACATAAAAAAAACGTAAAACCAAACCCCCTTAATTAAACCACCACCCTCACAACAAAAACAAAAACAACAACAACAACATCCACCCACCTATCTATCGCAATACCATCTATCACCACCAACACACAAAAAACTTCACCTACGAGCACAGCAGTGGCACTAATACCCCTGACTGACGGCCACCGCAACAGAAACGCATAAACAACAGTGATCAACGGCGGTATCAAATTTCTCAGCGCATTAAAAACAAGTGACAAACGCACACTTTCGACCTCGTCTCTCTGGCATGTTGAGAGCTTAATATAATGTTAAAAGTTCCACGAAAAAAATATATATGTGTGTATGTTTGCTACTATGAGTGTAAAGTGTAATAATAATAAAATATACTCGAAAGACTTCTCTTTGTGCGCTCTTAAAATATTCAGTTTTATTTATACTCAATACGTAAACTCGATCCGCCTACGAATAAGAATGGAAGGAAAGGAAGAGGCAGAAGAATAAAGGAAAAGAGGCAGAAGAAGAAGAAGAAAAGGGGAGGGAGGGGAAGGAGGAGAAGGAGGAGGAGGAGGAAGAGGAGGAGGAGGAGGAAGAGGAGAGGAAGGTAGGAAGGGAGAAAGAATAAGAATACGAATAAGAATGAGGGGGAGGAGAAGGGAAGGGAGGAAAGGAAGAAAAATAAAAATGAGAAAACGAATAAGAATAACAACCACAATAAAGAAAAGCACAACGAAATAAAAACCTAAAAAAGCGAAAACAGAACACCCCCCCCCCAAAAAAAAATGAACAAAAAAAATAAAATAAAATAACTAAAATAAGAATAAATAAACAAAAACACAACCCTAAAAACACACCACCAAGAGGAAGAGAACCCCAAAATGGCGCCCGAAGACAAAGACACCCAGAACCAGTAAATCGGCATTCACTTAGACGGCTCCGAACGCACAATCGTAACGTTCCGCTTTTAAACGCAACTTCAAAAGCAGGTTCGTCCGCCTCGCAAAAGGGTTAATCAACAAGGCCTCCCCTTTTTTTACTTTGCTTCCCGACCTGCTAATGCACTTGCACAATCGACCAAAACAAATTCTCGTTGTGTGTTTCTCTCTCTCTCTCTCTCTTTCTCTCTTTCTCTAACGGATTTTTTTTTCTCTCTCTCTTTCTCTTATGTATGTTTTTTTTCTTCTCTCTCTTTCACTTACGTTTTCTTTTTTCTCTCGCTCTTTCTCTAATGTATTTTTTTCTTTTTCTCTTTCTCTCTTCCTTCTCCTTTTTTATTAGAATTCTTGAGGTTTTTTCCTTTCTCTTTTTCTCTTAAATGCTATTCCTTTTATCTGTCTACTTCCTCCTCACGTGGCCTCTCCCTCTCCCTCTCTTTCTCTTTCTCCCTCCATCTTTA